ATACTGTTCACATTGGTTGTTCATTTATGGCTTTTTTTCCTGTGGGAAAGGGGGATGGGGAAGGAATTGTTGAATATGCAAAATGCTTGAAGTGTTTTCGGTTTCAGTGAGATGAAGGGTAGTGCTTACTGTGCATCAAGTATCCAAGATGAAAGGAGGGTGCTGAACTTTATAATTATCCTTCAGTCTATGCCATGAAGTCTGAAAAAGTTGCATGTTAGAACTTGCAGGCATTTAATGAATTTCAAGTTGCAATTTCATTTCTGTTGCCTTTCCAGAAAGACATAGCCAGTGGACCAAGATGAATACTGAACAAGTCACATAAGGCATGTTAATGCAGCCTGCTATGTCTAGTTCATTTCTAGTACAAGTATATTTAGATATACATACACACATATTTTGTAAAGTAATTTAGGCTGCCAAAAGTTCTGATGTATTGTCTCTCTGGTAGTGCATAGAACAAAAACACGTTTAACCTAATATCTATCAAAAAGCTCAAAATTATAGCTATAAAATAATTCAGTTGCTTTAAATTTAAACATATGCTTCAGTGAATTCTTTTTTTCATTTGTTTAGACTTCCTGAGTAAGTGTACATTTCTAAATCAAAGACTAAGATAAGATAAGCCTTAATTGATCTGGGAAGCCATATGTTCTCATGTGATACTCAGCTGTGCTGTTTGATGTATGTAACACCTAATTTTCAGCCCTTGCCTCTGCCTGTAGAATTTTACTCTTATTCTTCACCATATTTGGAGCATTTATAACATAATAAATACTGTGGTTTGCATAATAAAACTATTCCAGGTTTTTCTAAGCAGAGTGTTTTGGTACATGTGTATGTAAATTTATCTCAGTTGTGTGTAGAAAATAGTATGTGTGGGGGTTGTTTGTTTGTTTTGTCTCTCTTAATGAGGTAGCCATTTTTGAGGCAAATCCTGCTAGATCCATGCTGGCAAGAAACTTTTATGAATCCCCTAAGGATACATTTATATTCTTGCAAGTTTATTTATAGATAAACAGTAGTTACCTATTTGAGTTACGTATGTTAATTCTAAGATGCAAAGCCACTACCTACTTCAGTAGGTGAACACCAATTTTGGAATCATTGTCATGGAAGTTAAATTTCAGGTACCAGGTGTTACTGTTGTATGAAGGAAATGCAAACCTCTCTATTCAGTAGGATTTATCGAACATGCAGTCTAGAACTGTGTAAAATCAATCAGTGGGAACTTGTGAACAGTTAATACATAGGAGGCTGTTTTTTTCCCCATTCTTCCTATTATGTAAGAAAATAATACTTGTAATTTCAGGAAAATAAGTGTGGGAATTCTTATCTTATCCTGAATAGACATAATTTACATCTGAAATTTAAGAACCTCTACAAGGAAGTTTGAATATAAAAGCACATATTTAAAGAAACAGGTGCATTCAGATAATCTGTCTGGATTTGTACAGACTGGGCTGGTTTTGACAGCTGTTTTATTATCTTCCTATTTTATGAGTTCTCCCATCGTTGCCTGTAGCTGCATTTAGGTTTGACTCACCCAGGTGTGCTGCAGGACAGAAGAGAAGTGAAAACAAAATCCAAATTCACAGCTTGGTTTGGATATCAGATTCTTGTCATGACAGTCATTTTAGACATTGCCTTTCATGGCTTTCTGTATTTCATGATTTCTCCTCTTAAAAGTTTCACTCTTTTGAAGTCATATCCAAAGTTTGCATAGTCATAGTCTATGTAGTTTAAAAGTCTTTTCATGAGAATGTGTATTGCTCTTAACTGAGAGCCTATAATGGATTATAACGTAGCTGTCAGTGTTGACACTTAACACAAGTTCTTTTGCACAATATCATGTAGCTTGTTTTCTTTAGGTTAACATGCAACGGTTAACTTTTGTATTGAATTTTTCCCTGTTGTTTCACGTTATTCTCTCCCCTCTGCATGTCATTTATTAAGGCACTACTACTTTCTTCTTTATAAACCTTAGTACAATTCAACACACAGTGCTATGCCCCCTCCCTGGAAAGGTTCAAGGCCAGGTTGGATGGGGCTTTGAGCAGCCTGGTCTAGTGGAAGGTGTCCCTGCCCAGAGCAGGGGACCGGAACCAGGTGATCTTTAAGGTCCCTTCCAACCCAAACCATTCTATGATTCTATGGTTGTGACTGCTCTGGTAGTTAGATGAAGTGTAAACTTATAAAACTGTCTCTTCTCCTGGAAGTAAAATAATAGCATACTTTTCAAATGTTTAAAAATAATTCTCCTCAATCCAGGATGTTTGCATAGTGCTTAAATACCTGTGAACCTCAGTTTCAGTCTTTTTGCAAATATTTTTATGTTAAAAGCCTCCTAGAAAAGAGCTGTGCTTTAGATAGGAGAGAATTTGTCTTTCTTTTCTCTTCACTTTCATCTGCTTGTTAACAATGAACATATTTCCTAAATAACCTAGTAGGCGCTGCTGCTGGCTGCGCAGTGTGCTTGGACTGTTAGTCTTTGAGTTACTTGAGGCCCTCTATGGGTTGCCTGTCCTTGACTGTTAAGGCCAAATACAGGGAACTGCTTTCTTCCCTTTAGTTTCAACAAAAAGAAATCACAGTGCTGTTGGAGCTGCTGTTTGTATTGTACGGGGTGTTAGAGTAATGCAAGCATTGCACATTTAGACATGTAAAGCAAAAAGGCTTTTCCAGCTTTACAGGAATTATGGAACAGCTAGCCAGTTCCTGGATGGAAGTATTTTCATGTCACAAAATTACAAATGTAACTGGCACCCTTACCAGCCTTTCTCTGTAAAAACCAAACAAACAAAACGGAGAGTGTACTTGCCTTCTCACCCACACTGTTCAGATCAGAACAGATGATGGGAAAGCACAGAGCAGAGAAGCTGGCTACACTCCCAGTATATCTGTTTAGCAGATAAAGATGACTGTTTTTAGGGCTGTTGGTTGGCTTCTTTCACTTTTGCCTTTGAATCACCTCATGGTGTATTTTTAAAAGTATTTATTGAGCTGCTTTGACAGAGAGGTGTGTTTGTAAGGGTTACAGTCTATGGGCTTTGTTTTCAAAAATTAGAGTGGGCTAAACAAAAGTGGACTATCACTCCAAACTTTGGATTTCTTGCTTTTTGCCAGCTTGAATCATACCATAAACTCTATTTAAAGATTTGGGGTTTTGTATATTTTTTTCCACATCCTTGACCCTGACTGGTGAGCTGGACATTTGTGTTTGCCTTGGCAAGCTCCAAGCTGCTCATCTAGGGCAGGATGAAAACTCTTTTTTCCTTTTGTAAACAAACTGTTCCTTCAGTATTTTCCATAAGGATTTACACCACCATTTTGCAACGCTTCTAGGAATTGAGAAAATCTTGCCATTCAGAGTTTTCATTTTACACAGCTTGTAGCACTGCATAGAAATGTTTGATTTTATAAGTTTTCTGAGGTTGGATTTGAAGAGCTTTTTTCAGAATGTTTTCAAATTCCAGAAACACTGCATTTTGTCTTCAAGGGGTTTGTTAAAGCTATAGGTCAATATTCATTGTTGCCTGTCTAGAAATGGGGTTGTTTGTATTTTTTGTCTAACGCTAATGCATGTGTGTTAGACAATGCAACTGTGAACACTGCCCCATTGTACTAGGCACTGTATACATGTAAAATACTGCTTTGTGCCCTGAAGAATTTACAGTCTAGAGTAACTGTTCGCCTTCTGTATTTCTTTGGATATATTTTAGTGGTCAGGATGTAAAATGAGAGAATAACTTAGTGGGCCACTTTATGGCGACACACAGATTATGTTTTGGAACAAATGAACCGAATTTCATTTTCCACAGGGACAAAGGACTGATGGTGCTCCTTTTTTGTTAGGTCATTTGCAGTGAGGGACTCACAGTTTTGAGTGCTGTATGCCATAGAAATGGCATTCTTGTTCTTGTAAACAAAAAGACTTGTCATGGTACTCCAGCAGTACTGCTGCTAATTTAGGCCACTTTGAAATACTCTAAGTCAGAGATGAAGTTTTAGATATTATAAAATTGATATTATGATATTATTAAATCCAAGTCAAAGCTGAGTACCCATGTTAGTCCTGATCCCAAGCTACTGGAAACCCTGCCAAGAGGAGGAGGGTATTTGCCATGAGCTAAGCCTCCAAAAAATCATAAAAAGTCTTTTAAGAGCACCCATGTTTCTCTGGAAGAAAAAACTTGTAGTATATATTTAGGATATGTTCTGCCCCCTGCCCCTTCAAATAGTTCTGCTTGCAAGTCCCTGTATTTTTCCTCAGATCATGCGTTCTGCTCCCTGGAATGAATTTATAACGCTCACCTTAGTATGTTCACAAGGATACCGGATTCCTTGATGTTCTGTGAAACTACTCACTTTTTTCCTGCAATCTATAATGGTTTACTGAACAAGGGAAAGTAGCAAAGTAAAAGTACAATTATATTGTACTGCAGAAAAAAACTGCGTAGTTTCTAAATTTCTTTAAACAATAGGAAAGAAAAAATTTCCATATAACTTCTTGTCTTTATGCTGCTGGGTTTGAGATCTAGTATTTGAGTGCAAAACGAAGTATTGGGGAACAATTAGTTCTTTATAAATTTCTTTAAAATCTTCTGCAGTGTTTAGTAAAGTATGCTATTTACTATAAGTTATTATCCACATTAAGTATGTGCCAATGAGTCAGCAAACCAAAACAAAACGTCTGGGTTTTGGTCTATGGCTTACTGTAAATTATAATAAATAGCAAATAACTAAACTGACAGTTCAGGAACAAATGCTGAAAAGTGTATGTTAAAAAATACCCCCAAGATTACAAATAATGAATGCTGTATAGGTTGTTAACAGAAGAGAAAAATACTGAATTTTATGTAAAGCTCCATTGATGCTAGTCATCAGTCCATAAATGTTATTTATTCTTCCTTTTAAATAGTAATACTAATTTTAAAATGGTACATTAAAAGCATATTTGAACTCCATAAACTAAAACTACACTTCCTTTTTTGTTGCAGATCTGGGACATGAGTGATGATGAAACAGTCTGAAAATCAGCTGAATAAGGTGGAAGATGACCTACTTTGGACTGCAGCGCTGCCTTTTATGTTATTTGACAAGTTAATGATTGCTTGGCCATTCTGACTGCTACAAATACAAACAAATATAATCCACATTTTGACATTAATATCTTCACCTTGAAAGCAGTCTGTTATGGATATAACTCTCCACATTTTCATTTTTATTATGTAAATAACTAAAGCAATGTGGTTATGTTTAAATGTAATCTTTTCTTTTTTTTTTTTTTGTTTCTAAATATGGCTTACATATAAAATATGCTGCTTAAGTAAACTTTGGTGTTTTATTCATCCCAGTTATTTTGCTTGTCAATGGACATGTCCAAGCAGCATGTCTGAATGTCTTTTTTCATCTTTCCCAGATTTGTGCCCCTTTAGTTGGAATTTATTGTTAAGATTGAGAATATTCTGCTATTGGGAGTTAAACTGCATCTTTAAAGGAGAGCAGGAGTAGGTAAGAACCTACACCTACTGCCTACACCACATTGCTTGCTGTTTCAAAGTACATATTTATAGTAAGTTCATTTGTTCTTGCCTGTGTCAATGAAGATGTTATTCTCTGTAAAGATCTCATAATTTCATGCTATGAAAGAAATGTGGTTTGACTTATTTTTACACAGTAGAGACCAAAAAGCATTGGTATCATGATTAGGCTCCCCTGAAGTTTAGAGAAGGCTCTGATATGTAGTAAAAATTGCTTTGGGGGGTGGATCACTGATTCAGCCAAAACTTGTAGAGAAGTGCTTAACTGAAATAAGAAATTGGTTCTCTAACTTTGCTATTCTTGGATGCTGTCATGCAGTGCTTTACAGGTGTTAAAAAAGAGCAATTCTGATTTTCATTTTGGTTGGATTTTGAGTTTTTCAATTTTTGCAGCATCAGGAATGGCTTCAGAGATTATGGCTGAGCACAAACAGTAGTTTGAGAATCCTTGAGTTTAAAAGATAACTTGAGAAAAAAGGATTTGTAAAATATCAAAGTACATTACTACAAAATTTAAAGTGAATCTATTGGTTTTTATCTTGGAATAGGTTTTAGAAGTATATTTTAAATCTTTTTATGGCTTTATATTGTGGGGATTATGGACTAACTCACTCAGAAAAAATGCAAATTGCTTTATCTGTCAGGCAGTCTTTATTTCCCATATATATTATAAAAATTGTTTGGTCAACCCAATTATTTTAGTTCCTTCCTTAACATAAGCTCTGAATATTTGGTGTAGATAATTTCACAGCTGCTCTGCTTCTCTCTTATGCCACATCAGAAGAAGTTCTGTCAGATCAAATTTGTCTAAAAATAAGGATATCTGCAATTCCCATATTCTGATCATAAAAGATTTATTGAAACATGCTGAGGTTTGCATCAAGTGTCTAAAATAGCTATTATTTCTATTTATTTTAACTATCATATTCATTGTATTTATGTGATTTCTTAAGTAGCCTTAAGGGAATGTCTTGTTTAGCAACTTCATTGTAATATAAAAATATATATGAATGAAATATATTTTTTGAAAGACTAGTAATCACAGGAAACTGATCCTTTGGTGATCAGGCAATGAACAATTAGATTGATAACATGCCATGTCCATTTTAAGCAGTTTGTTAATGTACGTAATTACTTATGAGCTCAAAAGATCTCCATTTTGTTAGCCATGCCGTAGTCCAACCAGAATCATGAATAATTACCGGGGTAGTTTAAAGGGAATGATCTGCATTTTTATCTTTTGGAGTTGCTGGTCATGGAGTGTAAAACTCTATTTGCAGGTTTTGGCTATCTAAAACTTGAAAACTAGACATCTTTCTGAAATCTGTTAAACATTAATAATTATTTTAAATAGCTGAAACTCTGCTTATCCTGGTAAAGTTACATTGTAGCTTTACATTGAAAGTATCTACTTAACTGCAAAAGTATACAAGATCGAAAGGTTCAAAACTCAGGGTTAATATAATGTTTCCTTACCTCTGTAATTTCAGTAACATACAACTCTCTCAGGCTGAGCTGTTTCCTGTACATATGCTTCCCAGATGTCTCTGATGTTCAGAAACACTTCAGTTTGACTTGGAATAACTTCCGTTGTCTAACTGTAATGTTGTTTTCTTTCTCCTTACGGACCAGAATTGTTCTTAGTTTGCTTTTACTCAATTTCTAGGCATTTACTGAGTGAGAAATCATGAGAATCCATTCAAATGAATGAATGCACATTCAAATACTGTTAACAGATATGGCTCGTATGCACTTAATGGCAGGATTTCGGCACAGTCCTCAGCTCCAGTTATTGCTGTTTAATGGAACGAGCTAAACTTTAACTTTCTTCATAAAGGAGGTAGGATTTAAATTTTATTTGTGCTGCCGTGACCTCCTAGGTGTCAGTGAAGAGCCCGAACTCATACTTTCATTGTAGAACCCAACAGCTACCATGGCTTTTCAGGTATAAACCAGATCTGTTGGGAAGAGGGAGTGAACAGCCTCAGAGGAACCTACTCATCTTCCTAAACTATCTAACAGAAACGTAATGGCATTATATGGCAGTGTGGGTGGGACTGTATCTCACAGAAGGCAACTGTGACACCTGCATACCACAGCTGGGGACATTTACTAGTGTTAGAAGACCACAGATCTCAATGGAGAGCTGTAGACATCATTTTTGTGCTTGAGTATTAGAGAGGCTCATGGAATGATAGCCTCTGTTTTGCTTTCACACTGACTAGAATTTTTCTTCAGTGTCATCCCTTCAATGTGTTTGCTGGCTGAAGTCTAGAATTCGTTACAGAGTAGTACCACATTCATGAAAGTGAGGAACTTGAGATTCTGTATGAGAGTTTTCTTCTTTAAAGCCCTCACTTGCTCGCATCCTTGCTTTCACAATCTGCTGTTAAGTCCTCTTCACCTGTGTCATAGTCTGTTGATCAGGAACAAATTTCACTTAGGGCATGCCCTTTATATCACATGTAGATTGTCTTAGCACCATTAAAGCCAGCAGAATCATAGCCAGTAGGTGGTCCAGCCCCCCATTGAGTCTTAAGCCTTCAGCATTGGCCTCTATAAGGGATAAAGGGCACAAATTTGAAAATTATGCTTAAATCAGTGAAGAAAGATTGATGATGGCCCAGACAGGTTGGTCAAGATGAAATCACCAAGGAACGGAACCACAGGATTTATATTCCTAGGAAGTTGGTGGCTCCCAAGAACTAAAGGGAGATTATTCTTCAGTAGAAGTCAACAGCACAATAGTTATTTTGATACATCTAAGGAAACTGTAGTGATTGCACCAGCCCTTGAAATCACTGAGCTTGAGCCTGGAAAAATACTTTTTCCTTCCCTGTGTTCTGTATGGCTTTGGTGTTGTGTCCTCAGAGAAGTCCAGTGACATAAACTAAAATTTCATTTTTGTCATCTTTGATATTCTTGTTCCAGTTCCTGCATAATGTTCTTTCTAGTTCTGTTTCTTTGTATAAGGTTTGGCTGCTCACTTTAAATATATGCAACAGAAGTATTAGCAAAATTGAATAATTTTTCCATATATAAGCATTTTCTTTTAATTTCTCACTTGTGTTCCCATAAAAAAACTCTTACTGAAATGTTTTTTTTTGTATTTCTGAACTTTTCACTATACACTTTAGAATCATATCATAGCACTTGTTTCTCCCTCTTACTGAACAAATTCCTTCTAAATTATGTTAACTAGTCTAATGGGAATTGCTAATAGAATCACAGAATCATTTAGGTTGGAAAAGACCCTTAAGATCATTGAGTCCAACCATAAACCTAACACTGCCACGTCCCCCACTAGCTACTTCATTATTGCACTTACTCTGGGACAGTGTTCAGCCATGAAGAGTTCACCCAGCTCACAACTTTCCTTGAGTTTTCTTCCTCTTTTTCAAACCAAATCACAAAAGCAGTGAGATTGCTGAGATGTGACTGAGAATAGACTTCGGTATGCAGGATTCTCATTAATGCCAGTAATGTGTGGAAAGATTACTAAGCTTCTGATACCAGCTTTTGTGCTGTTGATCAAGAACAACTCTGCCTGTTTCTTGGAGAATCATTGAGAGCCATGACAGAATCCATGAGGATATTTTAATATAGTTTCTCTTCAAAGTATAACCATATCTTAAGAGTTCAAGGAGAGTCCTAACTCTCTCTTCTTAGGGGAATAGGAAGGACAGCTCACATTCTTTCAAAAATAAATATGTTGCAAGCTAACACATAGTCAACCTTAATTGTCATTCTGCCAGCTGTTCTGTGGTACAAGTCCAGCCAAGTAGCCATTCTCATGCTGTCCGTTGATTCAATGTTTGCTATACTGTAACTTTGCATTAAGACTACACAAAAGCTGAAGAGGGTGTGAACAGCTAGATGGTGGGATTTTTCCTTGCTACTTTTCCAAATTTTTGTACCCAATTTTGTAGGGTTTTTTAAAAATAATAACGCAATACTTTCCTTAGAAACAAATAAGTATTTATACTCCAGAGAGACCCATTAAAGAAATATTTGCAACATGGTAAACATCTTAAGAAACATAGTCGGGAAGATATCCAGAGCCTGTTACCATTTTGTTTCTGAATCTTTTGACATGGCTTCATTAATTCCTTTTCTTCTTCCTTTTTTTTTTTTTTTAATTTTCAGTGCAGATGTTGTGCTTATGCATATCCTGCCAAAATGAAACTTTCCTTCAAGAGGGTTTTGTGCACCTTTCTCTTTTAGAGCACCCGGATTAACTGTTTTAAAGGACAGAAATACCGCACTAGAAGGACTTTGGACTGTCCCAGTCTGGCAATGTGTAAATTCCTAACCTATGAAAAACCTACGTACCTACGTACCTGTCCCATTTCAGTTCCAGCTTGCTTTCCCTTGCAGCTGCCTGGACCTTCTCCAGAACCCTAACTGTTTAAAAATACTGTGGCACTGCACAGGTAATGCTTTAGGTTTGAAATTAATACACTTTCCCTCTCTATTAGCACTTCAGCTATCCAGTTTCATAATTTCTAACAAGTTAATTTTCTCATCTGTGCAGCACTTGACAGGTTTTGAAATTAAAAACCCTAACAATTTGTTGACAGTGTTTTCTTTCTCCTTTTATTGATAGCCTTTCTTCCATTACCACTGATAATAGTGACTCTTCATAGTGAGCAGTGATTGACGAATGGACAGACCGCAGGACTCCTTGCTTTGTGTTAGCTCTACTCCTAGGTTACACAGAGACATTAATACTCCCTGCTTTTTTTCTTAAACTTTTATTTAATTCCTCAACTGTGAAATGTATGGAAATTGGGTTTATGTACTTGGTGAAGAATATCTACTTTTTTTATTCTCAGTTATCGCGGGTCAAAGAAACTGGTCTGTTGCTCCAACCCATTGTTTTGCTGAGGTATTGTTGACTATTGTTTGATGTCATGTAGTGTCAACTAAAATAGGCTGTGGCTTGGGCTAATTTGTAGCCACTTTTCTCTTAAGTACAGCAGCTGAAATTCAGCAATCCGTATTCTTCCACCAGCCAGTGATGGGTGTTCTGTCCAGGTTGTAATGAAGTCTCTGGAGTGAGTCACTTGAGGATTGTTTTAACCTGGCTGAGGAAATTGGCACTGCAGAAGGGAAACTGAAGCTACTCCCAAAAGAATTAATAGCAATAAGCTTGAGTAGCAACAATGTTAAGTATCTTAAGGTATTCTGTATCTTAGGGCAGCAATTTTTTCACCTAATTTCCCAGTTCAAATGATCTCACCCCAGGATAAGGATGCAGCTGAGTACTCCAACCATATATAATTTCAAGTTCTAA